TCAGCAAACTGCATGTGCAGCAGTAGACTAAGCAGTTACCTGCTCACCAGTCTACTGCCAAGCCTACTTCCTCTTGTCACCAGTCTAAACATCATCTAAACTAGAAAGTTATCTCACACCAAGTATAAAGAGGTTAAAGACTTCCGCTGTGCATCTATTAATCTCTCAAAAGATTATAGATCAACTCATCTAGAGGGAAAACTTCATAAAGTTGAAAAAGATTTAAAAGTATATTCACCCCCCCCTCTAGACTTTTACCTCTATCCGGGACCATCACCCTCACTAGGCACGGTAACCTCACAACCAGCTGAGCTGAAATGCTTGGTTAATTTTCTCTCTCATATATATAGTGCTTTTTGGTATTAGAAGATAAGCTTGCTAACAATTGAGCAGAGAAATTCAGTGAAAAATTTCTCTGTCTCATATGTAGTGATTTTAGGTGTTAGAAGATAAATTTGCTAATAATTAAGCGGATAACTTTCTTGTGTAGTTTTGAAGTTTTAGATAAGATGGCTAAGAATGGGACGTGATAATTTTCTGTTATATGTAGTTCTTTTTTAGTATAAGATAATCCGACTAATAATTGAGAGGGAAATTCTTTCTCTCATATGTAGTGCTTTTAGGTATATAAGAAGAAGATAAGCCGCTAACAATTGAGCGGGAGAACTTTCTATCTCATATGTAGTGCTTTTAGGTATTACTGAGTAGAATATAAGCTTGCCAGCAATTGATCGGGTGAATTCTCATATATGTAGTTTTTTAAGTATAAGATAAGCTTGCTAACAATTAAGTAAAAATATATGCATCAACTGAGCTTTCTCGTGCGTATGCACGGGTACTATACTAGTATCTAAAAAAACTAATCCCTCCATCTCATTTATATTGTCCCGTTTTACCTTTTCGGGAAGTCGCACTTAAATTATCTCATACCATATTTGGCAAAGTTTGTATGATTCTAAATCATTCTTATTTTATTCTTACTTTATCAATTAATATCCATCACACAAACTCACTTTTCTTAATAACCGTGTCACCCTCTTCCGTCCCAATATAAATGGGACAGAGGTAGTACTCCATAATTTTGAGTGTTTCCAAATAGCGTAGATTCATTTTTTTTTTCTTTGACAAAAAAGGGGTAGAACGGTGGACATTGCTGTGATTTTAAAGAATAGTGGAGCGTATTAACTGATAGAACAAAATTGGACCTGACACGTTCGAAATCAGGTCGAGAGAAGACAACACATGGTAGATTTCGAGCAAGTGTTTCCAAATAGCATAGATTCATTTTTAATTTTTTGACAAAAAAGGGTAGAGCGGAGGACTCTACTCTGAATTTAAAGAGTAGTGGAGCATATTAGCTGACAGAACATATTCGGACTTGACACGGTCGAAATCAGGTCGAGAGAATGACGAAACAGGGTAGATTTCGAGCAGGTGTTTCCAAATAGCATAGATTCATTTTTTTTTTTTACAAAAGGGGTGGAAGGAGGACAAAATTTAAAGAGTAGTGAGCGTATTAATTGACAGAACATGTTCGGACCTAACATGTCCGAAATCAAGTCGAGAGAATGACGAAACAGGGTAGATTTCGAGCAGGTGTTTCCAAAGAGCCTAGAATGTAGATTCATTCTTTTTACAAAAGAGGAATGCGTTGTGTACACGGCGTTTTACACGCCCGTTTACACGGTATAAAAGAAGCCAAATTATTTTACCCTCCTCAGTTTCTCACTTCTCGGTCTCTTTTTTTTTTTCCACGGCCTTTCTCGTACGCCTCTTCTCCAGACAACTCACTTCTTCATCTCTTCTTTCTAGTTTCTGCACAATATCCCCTTCCCTCTTCTAATTTAGCTATCATAAACAATAAAACGATGATAGCAGGTAGCTGCCTCAACAATCCAAATCCAGACTTGCCTCAACAGTCCAATCCCCTCTTTACTCTCTGCAGTAACCCACAAGACCTCCCTCTCCTGATCTTCTTCCTCTCAGTCTCTTAGGCTCTTAACTTTCTTCTCTTCTTCCCTTTCTAATTAATTGATAATGAAATGGAAGGGGACATAGCCATATGAAGCATAGGTATACATGATGAAGCAAAGGGGACACGCTACATTGAGTCAAACCTTGTTGTTGCCGGCCTGCCACGCCGCTAAGTATCTCCGACGAAACCCGCTCAAGGTAATAACTCTTTGTCTCTCTTCTTTTTCTCTAATGTGAGTTTAGCGTTTTGGATCTGTTATGTGAAGCACCATGATTAATGATTTTTTTTTTCAGTTTGAAATTGTAGTTTGTGCTTATTGAACTATGTTTGTGAAGTTGGTTATTGAACTATTTGCTTGCTTTTTTGGAATCTATGGTGTTAATTATTGAGTTGAGATTATAATAGAAACATTATATTCTATTTTGTTGTCCATAAGGTGTTTGTTAAAAGGTTGAAATGAGTATTTGAACCATGACTTTAATAGAAACAACTTTCTGTAATAGATATGTAGTGTGTTTTGTGTCATGAGACTTTCTTATTTCCATAATCAATGAGACTGGAGGCTGTCTTTGGGCTGTAATCGAGTTCATACACATGCTCATTTTTCTTGTGCTTGCACCCAAGAATGAGAAGAAGAAAATAGGAGCACTTCTCATTTTAGCCCTTTCTGCATTTTCTGTGGCTGCAATTCTTTCTATTCTTGCTTTGCATGGAGGAATGAGGAATCTCTTCTAAGTTGTTTTCATCCTTAGTTTCAATCATAGTAATTAGTCAGTTGTAATTTTAACTCATTACTTTAAAAGGTGCTATAAAAATGATTATTATTATAATACTTTTATTTCTATTTTTTATATGAAGGAAGGACAAAAGATGAGAATCGACCGGAAATAGCCATTTTTTTCTACAAGAAAGTCGATGCATATGAATCGCTGAAATCCCTATGAAGACACTTTATAAATGTGAAGGAACTTACCAACTCAATGGAACAATGACTATCCTCAACAATGTTTCATAAGCTTGTGTTCAAGTGATTCATAAGCTTATGTTCTATCTTGTTCAATCCTAGTCGTTAGAACGTGATTAATTAGATCTAGCTCTGTACTTTTTAACTTAATTGACCCATGGTGATTTGGGGATTAGTTTAGAAAAGGTCATTTGTGTGACAATAATCACTTAAATAGGCTAATGTGTGAAATGAAAATGTCTGCGAACTTGATATGAAATTTTTTATCACAAGCAAGAGTCACTAGAATGAGCTAATATTCTAAGTAGAATTGTCTGCGAAATAGGCATAAAGTGTCCGCTCACAGACAATAGTCATTAGAATGTGCTAATGTGATAAGTGAAATGTCTGGTTACAAACAATAGTCACTGCAACAGGTTAAAATTAGTGTATGTGCCCAGACTGTAGTTGTGAAGAAATTTACCTTAACAAATGCATATAGTTTTATTTTTGTTTTCAAAAATGTATGTGTATATTATAATTTATGAAAATGAATGTTACTTTGATGTTATTACATTCAAAGTGGCTTTTTGTTTGTGTACAAACATGTTTCTTAAAGAGAATTGTCTGTGAAACTTACCAAAAAAATGTATGTGGCACAGACAATTTTTTGTATTCATTTTAAAAACAAAAAAACAATTGTCGGACAATGCCACAAATAATATATTTCAACATATACCTATTAAGATAAAAAAAATCTTCATACAAACAAATATGGTCTGGACAATTATGCATAGACAATATAAACAAAAACACAGACAATATTTCAACCACGTACAAACAAAATAAATGAACACATAAACAATAACTATTGTTTGTACATGGACAAAGCTTGTATAGAAATTATCTGCACACAGACAAAACTTAGCTTGTATAAAAGTTATTTGTACACAAACACTTGGTTAAATCTTATCTTTGCAAATACACTTAGAAAGTTAGAAACAAACTTTTTTTGTCACGGAACCAGACATAAGTGTCCGAGTACAGACAATAACAATTGCAACGTGCTAATGTTCTAATTGAAAATGTATATGAACTTGATATTAAATGTCCGGTCACAAATACAAACATATTTTGTATGATTTACATCCATAATGAGAGCAAGATTACTAATTCACCTTTAATAATTCCACATTATTTAAAAACACAATTTACTTCACCAACAATTAAAGTCGTTTTATTTTTCATAACACAAAAACATACATCTTTGAGAACATAAGTCACTCCAAATACAATATCATTCTAAATGTAGAAACAATAACTTTACTCCAAATACAATATCATTGTAAATGTAAAAACATTAACTTTACAATATAACCAATTACAAGCATAAATCCTTTGTTATCCTTTGCTTTGAAATTCTTGACTATCATCCATTTCGGATCTGACAAACCCGATTTCAGTCGGTGTCACAAACTTTATTGGATGATAATTTTCGGACATTTTGATTGAATGGTGATATTTCTTCCGGATAAAACTCTTGTATAAATAATCCTTCCCCACATAAATTAACAGACGAAAAAGAGTTGCCTCTCCCAAACCTTCAAACCAACTGACGGAACAAGAAGTGCCAACACCTTCTCCATTATTTGTTTAAAGGTTAGTAATTAAATACTCATTATTATTTATAATTAGATACTATTAGTACTATTAATGTGTGTACACATTTAAAGATTACTTAAATTAGTAATTTTTTTTAAAATGAACAAGTGTATATATATTTTTATTATTACATCACTAGTAATCATTGTAGATAAATAAGTTTGATATTTCTATAAAAAGTAAGTGAATAGAAACAATGACATACGAATACTAACATATCTAAGTTAATAGTCTTACAAATTATTAGTTGGAATAAGTTACTCCTTCCGTATTAAAATAAGTGTCTCACTTCCATTATAGGAAATAAATTCATTCACAAAGCAACTACAATACAATTTAATAAATTAAACATCACTCACCTACTCCGCAACTAACCTCATTATTTTCAATCACCACGATAATTTCTCTAGTCAGATAAAAAAAAGACTTTATCAGATAAAATATTTCGAGTCAGATCAAATTTCTGAATACATACTCACCTACTCCGCATCTAACATCATTATTTTCAACCACCTCAATAATGTCTCTAGTCAAATATAAAGACTTTATCAGATAAAAATATCCCCGATCAGATAAAATATCTCTGAATACATACTCACCTACTCCGCAACTAACCTCTTATTTTCAACCACCTCATCTACCAAACAAAAACATTTATTTTACCCACCTTTAACACTCACTATAAAAGCAACACTTCACACAATAATTCTTATCACTTACATCTATCATTTATATCACTTACAACTCACATTTCTATCACTCACTACACAAGTAAGAATGTCAAGTGAGTAGAAAATAATTGTTCTTGTTCATTGGAATGGAGTATTGACCAATGTTGACAACAAAGTCAAATACTCTTCATTTCCAAATGCGGTACTTTTTTTAAATGCCGATATTAGCTACACAACCTTATGTGAGCGTATTATAACTGAGATTTCTCGTGGTGGTTTAAATGAAATAAAAATCATTCATGGAAAATTTCATTTTGATACTAGAGATGGTGTGTGTTGCATCAATGTCGTGGCCCATACACGATGAACAGTCGTGGATCTATTTTGTGCAAATAGCTTCGAACATGTATGACCGATTGGAGCTATTCATTGATGCAAACAATACGGATGTGGTTATTCCATTGCATGAAGTCCCTTATAGGCGGCGGCGCAACCGGGAGCCATTAGCATCAAACCAAGGTCCTTCGATGGTTAATATATGGAGCCACCACATGAGGACGTGGAGAATTAAGATGACCCCGACTACAACTATCTTTCATTTTTGGAAGAGGAAAGCACTTCCGAAAATAGTGATGATAGTCGTGACTCATCTTGGTTGTCCCACATAACCAAGAGGATCCGTTTGTGGAACCCGCATACCGTGTGGTACACCCAATAAAAGTGGGAAATATGATTCGTATGACAAACTAAAAGAAAAACGTGTGAGCATTCTGGAGTGAAGCAAAACGTGTTAAATACTGGAGGGCGAAATGCATCCATGACGAGGTATGTTCATGGCACATTCAAGTTTCACAAGTGAAGAATACAAACTCGTGGAAAGTAAAGAAGTATCAACCCCACCATAACCGCATTTCGGTGTCATAGGTCATCGCTTCTGAAATCAGTTCTACGATTCGCATAAAATCAGAGTATAGCATTAAGCTAAGAAATCCATGACATATAGCACAAATATAACATTCATGTTGGATATAAGAAAGCGTGGTATGCTCGTAAATTTGCACCGAAGAAACGGTTCGGCAACTGGGAGACATCATACAACGATCTCCAAAAAGTCTTACAAGTAATGGCGTATACTAATCCAGGGAGCATAATTGATATTCAAAGTGATAAAACCAACACCCAAGGTACATATGAATATAAATTTGCATTTCGGTCAATAAAAGCGGCAATTGATGGGTTCAATCACTGCCTTCTGGTGGTGTCCATTGATGGGACTCACTTGTACGACAAGTACAATGGTCATCTCCTAGTCGCGGTGGCAATGAATGCCAACTGTGAAATCTACCCTCTAGTATTTGGTGTGGTAGATAGTGGGAATGCTTTTAGTTGGACGTGGTTCTTACAATTGCTTGTGACACAAATCATAGGGCCGCATCGGAATGTTTGCATCATCTCCGATCAGCATGCTGCTATAGATTATGCACTTCAAAAGGTGACAAAATTGGGAACACCATGAATTCAGATATGTTATTGTCTTCGCCACATTAGAAGCAGTTTCATGTCCCAATTTAGAAGTAAACAACTAAAGAAGTTGTGTTGGCGAGTGGGAAATACCCCAATTGTAAGTGAATTTCACCATTTCATGCAACAAATTCGAAGTACTAACGAGAGAGCATTCAAGTATTTAAATGACATTCCCCAAGAAAGTGGACACTTTGTTTTGATGATGGTTGTCGTGATGGTATTTTAACGACAAATCTTTTAGAAAGTTTGAACAATACTCTTAAAGGATGTAGGACATTGCCAATCACTGCCCTTGTACGAACGACTTCTGACAAACTAGTCCAGCTCTTTGCACAATGTTGTAGTGTTGGTATGATGTGGCAGCAAGCATTTTCCGGACAACATTTAGAAAAAAAAGATTATGGAGCGTTGGCACCAAAGACCACACACTATGGTTCTTCCACACAATCACTACACAAGATTTTACTCAGTCGCCGTAGAAAATGAAACACATGTTACGGTGCATCTATTGAGACGTGCTTGTGATTGCGGTTGTTGGAGGATGAACGGCATGCCATGCGTCCATGCGCGTGATGTCTGCCATTTTCTTAAGTGCTCTATTGATGAACTTATTCCTGAGGTATACAAACTGAGTTCTTAAATAAATGCACATTGCAGTGATATTATGTCATTGCCAAATATGAATGAGTGGCCACAAAATGAGTTCATTCTTCTACCGCTCAAATATCCAGAACTTCTCGAGCAGGACGCCGTCAAGAAACAAGATTTCCAAATGAGATGGATATGTGTTAAAGACGTAGAACACAACATGATTGATTCATATTTGTACTTTGTAGTAGTGTATTATTTCTTTTGTTTGTAGTTTGTTTTAATGTTGTAACACTTTTATTAGTCATGTGTTTTAAATATACCCTTAATATGATATAAACTTTGTTTAATTTTGAGTTCATATGACTTAATGGGTCAAATTTTGTTTGAATGCGTGATATTGTAAAGTGTATTTCTAATTGCATTTGAGTTAATAACACTGAGTGGGTCAAGTATTTTTAAAACTTGCTTAAATGTATTTATACTTTTATTTGTGTTTTTTTATTTTTTGGGTTCACTTTATTTAATGGATAAGGTTTTATTAAAATGTGTGGTATTCTTTAAATGTAACTTTAATATTATAAGAAGATTGTCAATATTCGGGTTAAGAAGAGTTAATGAGTCAATTTTGTAAAGTGTGTGTTTATTTAATTGAATGGATCAATTTTAGTTTTGTAAAAGGCGTATTCTTGATCAAAATTCGGGGTATCCAACGCCTATTCAATTTAAATGACAATATTGTATAATTTGTATTACTAAAATAAAACTTATTTACATAAATATGACTATTCATTACTACAACGTAGTGTTGTGGTAATTTAAGTTCAAAACTTGAACATTAATTACTATGATTTCATTACTACTCTAGTAACTAGTCATATTTTTGTAAACCATCTTTATTTTGATCATATTTATGTAATTACTTCTATAATTTTTATTCATGTTGAATAACTTATGATTTATAACAAATATATACAAACAATTCCTTTCAAAATAACAAATACAAAAAATCATATGAAATAAAATAAATATCAACCACAATTTGCCTAAGTGTACGGGAACCACCCATTTCCAATTGGTGTTTTACTCGCGGCATTCTAAAACGTTAATCTCATAACAAAAACTCTCAACGTGTAAATTAAGAATTAATCTCATCCGTCCAAAAAATTAATTCGATGCACCATAAACCCCTATGTGTTTCACTTTTCGAATAAGCCTTATCTGATGCACTTTTCGAAAAGTGCATCAGATAAGGTTTATTCGAAATTGCATTAGATAAGGGTTATTGTACATTAGATCGACAATTTGGACGACTCAGGTTAATTCTACTTTTACACGTTAATTAATGTCTTATCGTTTGAACTAAACCATATACCGAGTATGTAGGATGCACTATAAAGTCTCTCTGTTGCACTTTTTCACATCGACAGAAAACGTTTGACTTATTTACGAAAGGGCCACCACATTTTTTATTTGACTTTACGTGATCAATGTTCAAAAAGTGCAACAGATCACCTTTAAACAACATCAGGTTGGGGAACAAGTGAACAGTTTGCAGTTTTCACGTTAAGAGTGGTTTTTATTTGATCCAAAACATGTGTTTGTGTGTGTGCATTTTCGGACCTGGCACCTCCGTTCTACGCTATCTCAGAAAAACAAAACAAAATACGCTTTATGGAATGAAATTTGTTACAAACATACACTTATCAGTCAAACACTCTTTAATTTCTGCGTAAAAATTGTCTCTACAAATTTATATGAATTGTTGATAAGTGTTAAAAAATAAGAAAAATAAAAAACGTGTTTTATACACTTCTTGTACATACTCTTTATTTCATTTGTCTATACAGACAACAAATATTTCCTTACAACCGGCCCTTAATTACAAAACTAACTGATAAAATAGTTGCGTACTATGATAATGCAGTCATCTCACTTATGTTGAAGCATGAAGATGGTTGCATACAATTCTTTGAAAATTTGAATCCTTCCATACTTCATTCAGAATGATTGTTCGGTTGCTTGGTTGCTCGTCCGATTGACGAATAATTATATCTATCTATAAATAAATGATAGATAAATAAATGATATATCCATTGACGAATGTATAAAAAGAGGAAGCAACGATCACATCTTATGAGAACTAGGTCTCAAACACGAGTGAAGCTTTGAAGATACCGAAGATTAGATTTAGGGCCTATACTGTTTTAAGGGAGGGATTTATCGTTGTTCTCAGGGTTGGGTTTTTAGAGATCGTTTTGTTTTTTGTTTGATTTCCTTGCTGTTTTTTTTTTCTTTTTCCTGTAACTTCTTTCATTTTCTTAATAAAGTTTTGTTTCATTTTAAATAAAAATGATAGCCTTTATCCTTTCCAAATAATTTAGACAAATGAAATTAAAATCCATAAAAATGAATCTCTTCCGAGTGGTTTATGTAAGACCTCGGGTACTGTCCTCACAAACCACCACGAGCCTTTACCGCGCACTTTGTCCTCACTCATGCGCGCCCTGAGAAACTTCCCAGGGGGTCACCCATCCCAAGACTACTCCCGTGCAAGTACGCTTAACTTTGGAGTTCTTGGGTGATGAGCTCCCTTAAAAGAAGATGCACCTCTGTTGGTATGAGTAGTACTATTAATCCTCTTATATTAATCTCGGGTATTACAATCACCCCCACTTAGGATCGCAACGTCCTCGTTGCGCCCTTAAACCAATCTCAATCAAATCCCAGAATCTTTTCCCCTGCTAAATGTCTGCCCGATATCCAACGGATCAGTACACTGTCGCAGGGTTGCTCTGATACCATTTTGTAACACCCCGGCCCCACCGGACCCGAGGTAGTTACTCCAGACCTCTAGTACTGTCCTCACAAACCACCACGAGCCTTTACCGCGCACTTTGTGCTCACTCATGCGCGCCCTGAGAAACTTCCCAGGGGGTCACCCATCCCAAGACTACTCCCGTGCAAGCACGCTTAACTTTGGAGTTCTTGGGTGATGAGCTCCCTTAAAAGGAGATGCACCTCTGTTGGTATGAGTAGTACTATTAATCCTCTTATATTAATCTCGGGTATTACAGTTTATCAATCTGGGTTCGAGGTGAATTGGACATCGTCAATGGGTTTCTCTAATATTTGTTTTTTTATTTCCATGTAACATGGTAATTTATTGAGAGCTGTAAAATTACTATAGACAGCCACATAATTGATATTAATAATAAATATACTTCAAATATCCAAATTTTCCTATTACTATAATAATATTACATGATCAGTCACTCTAGACTTCCATAAACTCAAAAACTGCCGGCAAATTATGTAATTCCATAGTCATATTTTTGTTGATATCATGTTTTTGTTTAGATTTGGAGTTGTGACTTGTGAGTTGTGAGGTGACAGGGTCAGGCCCGTGCCTTATGCAAGGCTAGAGAGGCCCATGCCTCAGGGCCCCAAAAAATTGGAAAAATTAGGGGCCCCAATTTTTTATATTTTACTATTATACCTATGTATTTTCTAACATTTATGTGGTTATCAATATTGAAATTATGGAATCCTCAATTTACAATTAATCAAATTATATGCTTTGTATTTTGTGAATAAATTCCATTTTTTATCATAGGAGTTTTATGTCAATTCCACATTTAGTCCACGTCTTTCACTTTATCCAGATTTGGTACATGACTATTGTATTTTCGTCCACATATAGTCATTCCGGCCATGTTTCCGGTGGTTAAAATCGCCGGAGAAGGACCACAAATGGTAGAAAACATTAGTCAAGTACCAAAAGTGAACAAAGTGAAAGACGTTGACTAAATGTGGAATTGGCATAAAACCTGTAGTACCAAAAGTGGAATTAATTCGTATTTTGCAGACAAAGTTACTACTATATATTGTTGAGTATTCCACTAAATTATGTATTTATTTATTTTTAGCACTATGCATCCAAAATCTATGTCTGGATTTCAAAAGAGGAAAAGAAAATCATGTGTTGAATCATTAACTCAAAGTCAAGTCGAAAAAATGAATAAGTACTTGATTTTGAATCAAAGAGCCACTTCAGAAACTAAAACATGAATAAGTACTTTTTTAATAGGGGAAAATAAATAAAATACCTTCAATTTTGGGTAAATGTGATCTCCACACCCTATACTTACCTATCTAAATTGAGTACCTCCTACTTCATTTAATTGTGCGATTAGAACCCTATTTCTGAAATAAACTTTGCTGATTAGACCCAGGTGGCAAAATGTGTCAAGATTGGCAAAGTACCCAAATTAAAAACTGAATTCTCACAATACCCTCTTGGGAAAGAACTTTCCCTAATTTCACATATACGAATGCGTTCTTATGCTTGCATCTTCCATTGGTTAGAAAAACACTATATCATCACCGCAGCCATGAATGAGGATACAATGTTATAGCTCAGTGCGATAATATATACATGAATGAGGGAAATGCTTCGACACTTTAGCTTAGGGTGACGATGTTTCAATCAGTGCAACCAAGACGGCCAGCAAATGCTTCGACACTATCGGCAAACACAGCACCTTGAGCTTCATTTTTAGGAAAGTTCTGAAATTAGGGAGAGGATGATTAAGATATTCGTGTGCTTTAAACTCTATTCAAGGATTTTCAGTCATCGTCTTCTCTAAACTCTAAAATGCCTATCTTCAAGAAAGAAGGTTTCAAAATTGAGAAAACTGTCAAATAGGTCATCAAATTTTCATAACAAAGTCAATTAAGTCCTTCTATAGGAGACTCTGTCCGGTTATTGCGATTTGGGGCGGTTCCCAGTGGAATTTTTTGATGAATTTTTTTGAGAATCTTATTCATCAAGTCTAGTTTACTCATACCAAATTTCAACTAAAATTTTAATCGGGAGCGCATTCAAATTAATTCGAGAACGCAAAAATGCGCAGTTATCTTCAAGAATTAATTTGAATGTGTTCCCGACTGAATATTTAGCTGAAATTTGGTATGCGTAAACTAGACTTGGTGAATAAGATGCTCAAAAAATTTCATCAAAAAATTCCACCGGGAACTGCCCCAAATCGCGACTGCCAGACAGAACCTCCTCTAAAAGGACTTAATTGACCTTTTTATGAAAGTTCGAGTACCTATTTGACAGTTTTCCCTTATAAAATTTCAGTAGAGTTTCTCAAATCAGAAGCGTACTTTTACCGTCTTCAAATGAGAAATACTTACGTGAGAAAAAATGCCAAATAGATGTTTCCTTTGCCACTTAATATCACATGGGGTACTATTATCTCTACTTCAGCGTAGTAGGGGGTATTTTTTTAACCTTGATAAGTATGGGATGGAGATCTCACACTTACCCAAAGTTGAGGGTATTTTATTTATTTCCCCCTTTTTAATACATCCAATGTCATTTTGCACAATAAGTACAATAGATCATTCTCAGCTATTCTTTGGATACCTACTAAAAAAATCAATAGATAATGTCCCCCCCCCCCTCCTTATGTAATTCTCTCGAACTCTTCTGTGTACCTTTAGTAATTTTTATTAATAAATTTGGGAAGTGTTCCCCGACACTTTCCTCACAAAAAAAGACATCCAATGTCATTTTGTTATAATGTAAGACTCTTATTTAAAAATTGTGTTTTGATATTTAATCATTCAATTTTAGTGATCTACATGATAAAAAAACACAATGTATTGGGTCCATTTTATAAAGCTTGACTTAGACCCCAGTTTGGGTAGAACCGGCACTGGACAGGGTCTTCAATACTCCGTATTACTCGTATATGCTACTCTATGTACCAGTGTATATACATGTCATATAATTCTTTACTGTATATATTATATATAGGATGCCGTTCATTTTCTTTTATAACATTTAACACTTTATTTGAACCGCATCCTAAAATTTTTCATGCTCTTCATATCAATTATCAACCCAGCCTACCATTGTCCTCTGCTCAGATTAATTTCCCTCGAGGATACAATGACATTTACAAAAGCAACAAAATAAGTAGTCATGGACCGGTTCCGGGCCGACCGGTTCCGGGCCGACCGGCCCGTGGCCCGGACCGGCACTGTTAGGAACCGGCCCGGCCCAGTAGCCCGGCCAGAGACCGGTCCGGGTAGGCCTGCCCAGGGGTTATACGGGTCGGGGTCGGGTCACCCAAAATAGGAACCGGTCCGGCCGGGCCCGGTTCGGGCCTTTTTTTCAATTTTTTTTGTTTTCCCGGGTTGAGCTGAGTGTTTTGGGGGGGTTTGGGGGGTGGGGGTGAGGGGGGGGTCGGGGGTTGATTAGAAAAGCAAAAAAAATTAAGAAGCCCGGGGACCAGCCCGGACCCAGTGGAAACCCGGCCCGGTTCCGGGCCCAAAGCCAAGCCCAAAAAGCCAGCCCAGGACCGGCCCGGTCCATGACTAAAAATAAGTATCAGTCACAATAACCAGAAGTCATGCACAAATAGCATACACTTTGGGAGCAATATACCATTCATAAACCAAACCAAGCATGCCCAATATGTCCCACTCGAAAGTATGCAGGCCTTACCTCGGCTCTACCCCTAGGAGGCTAGCTGGCTAGGAGTGGAAATATACGGATGTACCTTTTGTGAAACCCCGGCTAAGGAACAACTCGAAGGCGTTAAAATTTTGAAAACATCTTGATATTTGTTAAAACTTTTAAAGATTTCAGTAAAAAAGAATTGAGTATATTTCAAAAAAAGAATTGTCAAGTAGATAAAGAAAGACATCCTAAGTTGAAGGTAGCCTGTACAATGTGGTAAACAAGAACTGCTTGGACAATAACAGAAAGGAATAAAATACTAAACGTAGTAGCATCAAACAGCTTCAATAGGGCAGTACATAAAAGAAGATAATATATCGATACATAATACTGTATACACATACTGACACACACATATCTCTCTAAAAACTCCTAGTGATATCTCCTCCTACACAACTACACAAGGATATAAAGAAAGACACCAGAAGCAATAACAGTGATGTCTATTGCTGGTAAGGTTAGTTCATATTTGCATAAATCAATTACCAGCAATCGCAACACTTGGTCCTTCCTAGTCTTAAGAGTCCAAATCCCTTTAGGTGATGTTGACCAGTAAATCAGTATGAAATTCATACATAAGCTGGAGAAACTGCTGGGCTTGCTTGCATCTGTGTATGTGTTCAATAATTAGGTTTTTGAAAATACATAGTACACAAAAATGGCATCTTGAAGTAAATGGCATCTGAACCTAATGCAATCACATGATTGAATTTCAAAGTTGTGATGATTGTGACTGATAAGTGCGTGATGTGCTACTGAAAGTGACTCGATTAGAACAAGATTTTCCAGTCATTACATTAGCAGCATTTTCTGTAGATAATGAAAGTTTCCATAGTTCCTTGGTAGATGGCTGCCTTTGAACATCCATTTCAACCCCCTCCCCGGTGGTGGGTTGTGCAATTTGTTGATCCTCAAGCATCTCAAGTTGTTTCTCATAGCGTGCATAGTTCTCAGGTTTCTCCCACTACTCAAGCATGCTTACAGTTATTATTTGTCATAATAATATAGATGAAGGAAGAAATCCATTTCGATAAACAGATATTCTTACCCGGCTCTCACACGTCATGCAGTTGTAGTAATATGGATACCCATCAGGACATATATGTTCGCTCCATTCACAGTCAGCATCTGAAGGTGACTTGTTAGCAGAAGATGTCGTCGAAGGAAAAGCTTGCTCCGGTACAGCATAAAAATTCATTACTGTTTGCTGCGTGTTTCCAACAATTGGAGACTGCAAAAATATAAAATTGGACACATTATACGTATATGACCAAAGTTTATACAGTTGGTCAGTGAAGGGATTATAAAAAATTATTGCCGAACAAAATTACACGCATGGAAGCCCCAAGCTTGAAGTAGCCCCTCTTGTCAAGCAAAATTGAATTTTTAAGAACCTTATCGCTATAAACATCAAAACACCTCAAGTTTACTAGCTTTAGAAATACTACATGCTCTTTTAGGTAGGCAGCTAAAGGTTTCGGTATGTATACACACTACATAGTAGTATAGTACTTCTCTTGAAAAAGACGAAGTTTATCCAAATATCATATGGTAATTAACAGATGTCAGAATATGCTCATCGCAGAAGTGATGGTTGGTGAATTGAGATACCTGCTTTGGGCTCATTGAATTTGGTGGCATATGTCCACCAAAAGGTTCATTGATACAAGATGCCGCTCTGTGTCAAACCCAAAACAGGTCAAGTATGAAATATTGTCTAAAGAAGTGTAGAGAAAAGCACACATGATTCACATAGAAGACAATTCAAAGGAGAAGATCATCATCGTCATCATTACCCATGTGCCGCAAAGGCTCCCCACCTACGGTGGGGGGGTCGGATGTATGCAGCCTTACCCCGGTACTAAAGTACAGAGAGACTGTTACCGGATGACCCATAGTAAAAATTGCGTCGAAAATTGCATGGACTTGCATGGACTGCAGGGGCGGATCCAAGAATATGAAATGCCCTGGGCTGAATAGGAATTATACTAGATTTAAATATTAGCGGGGTAGGCTAAATGTTAAAAGCGAAAAAATTTACCCTAAAAAAATTGAAAAAATTCTATGTTGCACTGGGCTTCAGCCTACCATAGCCCGTACATAGATCCTCCCCTGATGTACTGACTGCTGCTTCATAACAGATGTCAAAGGAGAAGAAACTTGAGAGAAATGATATTCATATTTGAGTAGTTTTATGGAGCATGTGGTCTATCAAGAGCATGTTGTTAAGGGGTTTGAACAGGATGCAACCACCTCATTTGGTAAGGTCTGTTTTTGCGAGTTGGTTGCATCCTGGTTAGCCACATCAGCATGTTCACGGTAACTTACACATTGTTTTTAGTCATTAGCTTGATAGAATCATTTGTGCCGGGTTTACAAGTCTAATGTAGTAGTAGTAATGATAAAAGCACATTAAGGGTCTGTTTGGAGGGTCTTAGAGGATTCGCTTTACTGGGCTTAGACTATGTCTTCTTTCACATTGAGAAGTTGAGATTTAAAAAATGGAAAGATCAACATATTATCCAATCGCTGTTTAATTTATTAAACTCACATTATATGAGGTCCTATATCATTTCAGGCATCTGCTACTCATTTCAGAAACATTATATTTATGGCAAAATTCACAAAAATAATCTTTACTTTTAGGGATTTTACAATAATAATCCCTACTTAGAGTATTCATAAAAATAATCCGAACTAGCAATAGTGTCCACAAGAATAAATTGAGGTAAATTAAAATTATTTCCCATTTAATTTTCCCAAATCTTACCTCTACTTTCCCCTTCACCACTCTTAATTTTGGGTAACACTTCTATCTTCTATCCTAGAAAGAACCACATATGGCGAAATTGACATTAAGATTAAACGGGTTTTAGTTTTAATTTACTTCGATAAGAATAGCGGTGAAGAGAAAAGTGAGAGTAGGTATTGATAGTATTAAACGGGCATTAATTTGATTTCACCCCAATTTATTCTTATGGACACTATTGCTAGTTTGGATTATTTTTATAGACACTCTCAGTAGGGATTATTATTGTAGAATCCCTAAAAGTAAGGATTATTCTTATGAATTTTGCCTATATTTATTAATATATGGACTAACCTCTCTCAACCCCCCCCCCCCCCCCCAAAAAAACACTCTCCAAAACCTTCTATCCAAAAAGAATCTAAAGAAACCAGCCATGTTCTAAAAAGCGCTACGAAGCAACACACAGGAGCCTACCACCTAGACTAAGTCAATGTTCACGCAGGGACAATTTTGGGAAAATAGATGTAGGCGGCCAAGGAAAACCTAGCACCTAAACAAGGATTTTTAGAGCATAGGTGCGGAAAGAACAAAAATAATCAAGGTCAGTTTCTGAGAATATAAAAGGAGTGAATTGGGAGGAAAAGAACCTAGAGTCTCCCAATCTAGGCTTCCTGGGGTCAGCAAAGCGAACAATCAAAGGGTGATCACAACCCTGAAAGCATAGTAAGAAAGTAAAATGGAAAGCAGTCATCAATGGTGAATACAAAAATCAAACAACAAAGTAGCTATATATTTTACCCTCATTGTGTAGGTCCCATGTAGTGCACTGATTGCAGCAACTGCCATGTCTCTACGAGAGAACTGAACAAAAGCAAATCCTTGAAGACAGGAGAAGTAGACCACATTAAGAAAATGATAGGGTGGAGGCACAGTTGACAGACAAAGAAAATCTAGAAATAGGAATTTTAGAAAATATGTAAAAGGCAAAAAAAACAATAATATGAACTAAATCCTGAAGAAGCCGCAAAAGGCCAAATTCTATAAGATTGCAGCAAAAAGTGAAATAATACAAGTAAGGCTAAAGCACTTAAATGTATCAAAAGTAGAACAAAAACACACAATAATCATGCCGCTAAAAGAGATACAATTAGAAAGTGCACCAATTGTTAGCCAGCCCCAAACTCTTTTGGGATTAAGGCTTGGATGTTTTTCTTGTTATTCAAACATAGTGGAGGTAAAGAGATGTAAAATAAGGTGGAAAGTGAGTTACAGATAAATTAGAGTTTACCCCGACTTTGCTTTTGATCATCGCGGTCACGTACAAGGAAAATTGATTCAATAATCCCATACCGGGAAAATACCTGGTAGTAAAACCAAACTAAATATCACAAATTTTTTTTAATATATCTCAAGATATACATCTTGAGGTTCACCATAAGTAACACGGAAATGTGAAACACGAGAAATGGGATTTCTAAAAATATATAGGATATGAAATGTGAGGGAAACACTTAATTATTACTCCGTAATAAATAAGCAAATAATTATAAATATTTTCACAAGTGTATACTTGTTTTTTCATTCATATATATGCACATATTCTTTTCACATAACGTTGTTTGATAACTAATACTTTCTCCATTCTTTTTTAGTTGCAACACTTCCACTTTCGCGTTTGCCAATGCACAACTTTGACCATTAATATATGTATAACTCACTAATAGTAAAAGAAAATAAAAAATTCAGATGTTATAAATTCGAAATGAGATCAACTTTACAATATTTTTCAAAAAAAAATATAATACATAATCAATAAAATGTAGTCAAAGTAGAGTATATGAATAGTGTAAAATTCAAACATGTTGCAATTATTTAAGAACGAGATAGTTATAATTATAAATTATAACTATCTAGTAAGCCACTATGCATTACATATAAAGTGTTCAAGATTAGAAATTATTAAACATTAGTACATAACTAAACATAAAATGCATTACATATCTAGTAAGCCACTATGCTATGCAATATCAGAATGTTGCTCGGAAAAAATCCTGCAAAAGTTTCACACATAAGTTTTAAGAAGCTACTATTTTCCATCAAGGAATCCCACCAAAAAGAAACAATTGGAAACCCAAAGGTTCCGAAATGCTAATTATTTGGGGAAACTGGTTTCCCAACTCCTTTTCATTACGGAAATGTCCGTGAAACAAAATTTTGAAGTCTCCAACACGCTTCAGAGTTTCCAAAAACGGGAAATGTGAGGCGTGGGAAGTTTCAGTGCTTCGTAGGGTTCACCATGTCAATAAGAAACAAAAAGTTATAGTTACAATAGCTGTCTCAAAACATAAATTATGGCCACTCAATTCTTTTTTGCAAAAAAAATATGATGACACATTATACCAGCCGCATACAAAAAAATTGACTGCATAGGTGAAAAGGGAATATAAATTCTGGTAACATATAATGAGTGATTGTGTCACAGTTATTCATAAGATAACCATGCTGATATTTACTGTGTGGGTACTTGTGAAAACCGAAAAGGTAATAATCGGAAAAACGACAATGCCATTTGTCATGCAGCTGCACCAAAAAATAAAAGACGGATGAAAACAATTCAGAAGACTTGGCGCGTACTTCATCAATTTCCCTTTTGGAAGTTTGTCTGTTCATGCCACCAACATATAGTTTGTGTATATGTTCACCAAAACTGCCTGCAAAGAGACAGGCAGACAATAACATTATAATTCACGCAAAAGACTGCTATACTAATGCACACACAACTACACACGATAAGCAATTGTCTGTTACATCACATTGCCATGCTGAATTTCCATAACTATTGCACTATATAGATGAGCTGTTTTACATAATGCGCATGTCGGTTTTACAATATCTACATGGTGATGTAGCAATAGGAGTTGTGACATCACTATACCGACTGTCTCAAGTCTCAACACTCCTGTTGGAATGTTATTAATATTAGTGATCTAGTGCATTCAAATTATATATGTTTAAATGAGAAAGTTTACATATACAGATATACTACAAATATAATTATATATATATATATATGAGTGTATTTTGGAAAAAATGGAATATAAATCTAAAAGATAGATTTCATTAATAATAAAAATAATATTAATGTCTCATATTCAGAGGAGTATCTACTCCTATCTGTTCACACGGTCACACCATGACATGTGAACATTGAAATCCTTCAGCAAAAGTTTAGACACTTCTTCATGTACACACCACAGCACCTCATGTAAAATTAAGCAACATTACTTAAAAACATATTTTTGAAAGAAAATCACCTAGCCGTTCTCGCTCCCCCTCGGCGTACCTAACTCGTAATGGACAGTGAGCCTGAAAGAAAAAAAGCATCTATCAAATAACAGGACACAGATGCATCTTATGTGTGAAAGCTAAAACACCTTAAGTTCATATGTATGGCAAAACTAACCCCAGGGATGGTGTGCCGATCATGTAATGCTACGATTGCTCGATCAGCATCATCCAGTGTTCTAAACTTCACAAAACAACTCACTGCAAAATCAGCATACAAGCAAATCATGCGATTAAGAGAAAAAGTCACCTAATGCAGTAATGCTAATGCTTAGGCCTCCTTTGAATAATGAGTACAAAGAGCATAGTTTTTTGTGAATATCAAGCATGAAAATGTAAAGTAAGACATACAATATTGTAGCAATACAATGATCATTGACAGTATTTAGATTAAGACAATTATACCGCTTTATCCACCTTAACTAGAGCAGTAAAAGATTTTGCAAAAGGAAACAGCGAGCAGAAGCATATTTGTATGGCGTCAAACATAATTTAAGAGTAAAAAGCAGTCAAGCACAAATGAACATGAACAGATAAGAACATCGTTGGTTCTTAAAATGAAATTTGAATTCTTTTGCATGTTGGGGGGGGGGGGGGTCAGATGAAAAGGTAACGAGCCTATAGTAAGATGCTTTCAGTGACCAGAGAGCTTTGATCCTTGCAATAGCGGAACATGGATGACAAAATACTTAAAAACAAAAGGTATCCTATCACCCTCATACGCTTAAATTAACTTCTTTTTATGTTGTATTACTTTATAAAAATTAGAATTTGGAATGTACTCTAAGATCTTACAGCATATAGTATCTCAAGAAAGCATACATTTAGTAAGCACTCCAGTCAAAAGATAATGTCTCCACCTAATGGCCAGGAGGTACATTTTGTTGAACATCTAAGATCTTACATGATATACTATCTCCAGACAGAAAAAAATTAGAAAAAATAAAGCCAAAAGCTAATGTCACCATCCGATTGTCAGGAGGTATAGTTGCCTGAATAGATCCAAAAAGGAGAGAAGGCTTGAAATTTCACCACGGATATTTCCGAACTACAGTTTGCACAATGATAATGTACTTTTAAAAGGAAAATAAGAGCATCCAAATAACCAAATATGAAATACATAAATACTTTTTCATTTGAAAACTTTAAATGATTTTTGAGTTTGCAATGTTAATCAAGCAGTGGCATCTTGTGTCTCCAACTCTCCATTTATGCAAAAAGAACAAACTTTTACATCAACTGGCGCTCAACATGAATATTGCAAGTGCTTGACTAAAAGGTTCATCACAAAAAATTAAAAGAAAATGATCAATGAAAATGAGACTATTCCAGTAGGTTGTAAATTGAAAACATTTGCACACCTTGTTTATGATCAGTCTTTTTATCCTTGAGGAGAATAACCTCAACAATATGCCCGTACTCACCAAAGATGTGTCGAATCTGGAGTTGAATGGGGCAACTGCCAACATTAATGCTTATGAAACATTCTGAAGGAGCATTGATGACAGAAATAAGAAACAATTCTAGTGCCTTCACTTTATTGAAAAAATTAAGACTCATAAATCCACTTATTGTGTGTGTGTGTGTGTGTGTGTGAGAGAGAGAGAGAGCACAATATGGGTATAATCAACCAAACATGAATATCAGATGACAGGTGTTACGCTTTTATGAATCTGTGTTTCTTGATATGAATCAAATACAGTATAATAGAGCATTATTAGACATTGTCCTCATTGCATTAGATAACTAAGCTTAGGACTTCAGTATGCATATACATAGAACTCCACTAAAAACCAAGGAAATGCAATATTCCAAGATAAGGCTGTGTTCAAACCAACAGTTGTGAAACCGGAATGGTCATGATTAGTTCCAACAGTCATGACCATCCAAACCTCGATGGAGCGAGCTAGGCCTTCGACCAAGCAATGCTGTGTTAACTCAGCAATGGCCCCCCTCCCTCCCCTACCCCCAAAAAATAATAGAATCTCAAACTTAAATGAAAAGATGTTATCTTGGATGAAAAGTTTAAACTATAATCTGTATTTGTTATAAAATCCTCAAATAGTTTATATGCTTTTCCCAGCATTACACATGCTCAATACACTCGTTTATGGACATCAGGTTTCCAGTAAAAAGAAGCAAGGTCCAAAGGTGTTAAGCTTCATAATTACTTCGTATTAATTATATATTACAACTACTAGGATGTGCTTTAGCATATGTTATATGTACATATGTTTCTCAAAAGCTAATAATGCATACATCTTCTTCGGTAGCTGTTCTTGGAACTCCTCCAACATATAGCTTAACAAATCCCCCGCCTTCTAATCCATCTAAAAGGAAGAAGATAAAACAAAATTCACAGGCATTAATTCAATGGGAAGAAACAGTACTGCTACGAACTTAACTGGACTCAAAACAAGTAACTGAAATTGAAATTGATTAAATGAGAGTCAACTTTAAGCGTGCGGGGAGTACAAATCAACCAAAATAATTGTCGTACCAGAAAAAGGCGGTGGTTGTGAGTGGGGGAGAGGCCTTTTACGCCCTGATGTATGCGGAGAATGGCTGAAGTTGCGACTGGCTGCGCCATTAACGGAATTATTTGGCTCGACATTTGGGTTTTGATGGTGGTGATTGTCAGAGTAACTGTTCTGGTGCTCATGCGGCTGCTGGTAGCAGCGCTGACGGTGGTGGTGGTGGGCGTCCCCGGGAAATTTTCTTCCGGTACTGCCGTTACTTTGAGTGATTGACTCGCAGGAGTGCCCCGACGGCGCCGCAGTGTGAGAGTCGCGGTGAAAGTCTGGGTGATCGCCTGGGAGTTCTCCATTGCTTCTGCTATCCATTTTTCTAGAGAAAATAAAAAACTGAAAAAATACGCATTCAGCAGTTCAGCTTCAGGAAGCCAAAGACTTTGACGGGGATAGCCTGCTGCTCTGAAAATATTTGTTCGATTGAAGTTTTATTTAGAGGCTGGAACTGCCACCAAATGTCTAAGGCCGGACAAAGACAAACTCATAACTTCGAGTACCAATCACTGTTTACTTGTTAAATTAGGATGGTAATTTGCTGGTCTGGTCTGGTCTGATCTGGTCTGGTCTGGTCTGAACTGGTCTGGTCTGGTCTGTTAAAGTCTGGTTTCTTTGTATTTTTATAACTATCCAAATCTGGTTTGGTCTGGTCTGGTCTGAACTGGTCTGGTCTGGTCTGGTCTGGGACAAATTACAGTCCAAGTAAAAACATCCTTACTTAAATGTTTACTCAATTTTAGCACAAATAAACTTTCTTTAGACTTTTAATTGATCTTTACACGTCATGCTAATCATTTATATAATGATATATATATAATCATATATATAATCGTTAAAAAAAGTCATTAATATTATTCTTTAAAATGTGGTGAACAAAAATATTATCTAATAATTAATAGTGATTATAATTGTGTTCAAATTTACATTGTAGTAATTATATGCAAGTTAGGTGTGTCATGGTATCTAAAATAAGTGTTCCAATGACTTGATACTTGTGGAAACAAATATAGTTTTTCAATACCTTAGAAATAAAATATATGTGCATGTGTATGTGTGGAGAAATGTTGTGGAGAAATGCTAAGGCTTTCTTTGCAAACAATGGAAAAAAGACACTTTTCAGTTTTTGGATTAAAAAGTTAAAAAGTGTTATCAAGTGACAACTTCTACTTAAAAAAATGTCATCAGTTTTTGTGCAAAAAATGCTTTTTACTTTTTCTATTACAGAAAAAACACTTATTTTACCAAACACTACCAAATTTTACTTTTCAAATTCACTTTTTTTCAAACACTACCAACTTTTACTATTAATCATTTTTCCCAAAATCACTTTAAAAAGTTAAAAGCACTTGGGAGTAATGTTTGCAAACAAACACTAAAGTTACCCCAAAATGGGGTACCCCATACATATAGCATTTCTCGTATGTGTGCATTTGTTTTTACTTTTAAAGGAAACTACACACTAATGCCTATTTTTTTATCGAAGAGGGCTTAAATTGATATCAAAGCATTCAGCAAGGGTACAAGATAACAAAAGAACCATAGGTCCACATGTAATCATTCGCCCTTGGTCGAGACTCTGAGTTAATCATCATTGACAAAACAATATAACTCGCTAGATCTAACTTGGGCATAAAGTCAATGACGATTATCGTAGACCTCTCATCCCCCAAACCTAAAAGCAAACAGTAAAATAAAAAACCAGTCTTCGTCTTCCAGTGCAAAGCCGCCACATGCATTAACGGGTCTAGGGAAACTGGTCTGCCGCCTCCCCATTTTTTGGCATATCCAGCGCCATACCCTCTCCAGCTAACTCTCTTGTAGACTGGCCATCCCAAATTCTTCTGTGTTTTGTCTCGCCCAGCACCTCCTCCTTATCTGCCTTCCCTCCCTGCTGAGATACACTTGCGCCAGTTTCAGCCGATTGCTCGCTCCCGAGATCAGTCTTCCGTTGAATCCCAAAACCCCCGAAGCTCGAGGACTCATTCACCAACCACTTGTTTACCCCTGTTGAGCTAGTCTTCACCCCACCGCCTGCCCTGAGTTCCACCCCAAAGGATTTCTCCAGCACAATTCCCTCTTCGTATTACAAAGGGCAAAATTTATCCGAGTGCCCAATAACCCCACACATGACGTAGATATTAGGTAATTTCTCATACTTAAAGTCTACCCAATGTCCCACCCCTGCCTTTGTTAAAGTAGTACCCTTTATAAGGGGTTTTCGCACATCCATACAGACTCTTATACGTAGATATGATTTCTAGTTACCTTCAAACTGATTCTTATCAAGCCTAATGATTAATGAAGGTACCAAGATGGTTCCCAATTCTCTTGGCAGAAACCAACTTTCTAAATTTATAGGGAACATTGTGGACCTATACCCAAAATTCAACCTCAAACAAATTCATACTTTCAGGTATATCATCTGGCTGAACTGCTCTCAATAGAACTAAATCTCTTTCAAATAACCAAGGGTCATCCTCAAGAACACGATTCATATCGAGAACATGATTAAAATTAAAGAGGTGCCTTTTATCCCCAATTTCTTTGATAGCCATACCTCTCCCTGGTCGCCATATTGAAGTCAACAGCTCTTGAAATCCCTGGAGCTTAATTTTTCGATCCATGACTACAACCCCCACCACCGGGAACACTGTTGGTTCGTCGGCCTCCTCCAACTCCTCTGATTCATCATAATCGAAGTTGACTCCATTGTCCTTCTCGTCAATCGCCATGTTCTTGTAGTTATTGACAATATCCTCCATCAATAACAACCCTCTGTTGCATGCCTTTCCCTTCGTCTGCTTTCTCGATCGAAACCACCACCTTGCCTGAGCCTCGAACGGACCCCGCCTCGGAGAAGGACCTGCAGCAAGACTCGAACAACACCCTACTGAAATCACTCGCCGAACACAAAGTTTAAAACCGACCTTCGTCTTTGACGAAATCGGAAGGAACCCCTAGCGGCGTGATGCCCTAGAGAGAGATCGCCTTTCAATGTATCACTAATGCCTAATTTTTATCTTTGAGTATGTTATATTTTACAATAGAAAAGTTCAGGTACGGAACTCCGGACCAGAACCTCCGTTCGGTTGCCGCCTTTTCATATGGTTTTCGATCAGTGCCTATATCATACATTCGGGTGTACATGCACCCGGCCCAACTAAGGAAAGACGGACCAATAACTAATATAGGCCAAAAAATTTCGGTGGCATTTTTGTAATTTAAGCGAAAAATCACGGTTCCCGCTAAATGAGTAATAATGTACTTTTAGTGAGCATCTGACCTATTATATTTAGTATTATGAGGCTAACAATGAGTATCACGATTTCAGCTCCATATATTCTAATTCTTTTTTTTTTCTTTTATAAAAACTTATTAAATTGTATCTATAATTCACTCCTATTAATTTCAATATGCGAGTCTAATGTAACACGATACTTTTAAAATATGTATTGATATGACATTTTAAAAATGAGCGTAACATGAGTATCATATGAGCATACATAACTTACAACATTTTAATTGAGCATCAAACCTCCGCTATTGAGATGAAAATCATGATTTCTGGTGAATGAGTATTAATGAACTTTTAATGAGCATTCAGATCTTTTATGTTGAGTATTAGGAGTCTAATATTCATATTCGTGATCTCTGCTTCATGACTTCTAATTTACTTTCTTTTTGTTATTTTTTCTTTTATAAAAACTTATTAAATTATATTTATAATCAACTCTTATGAATTTCAATATGTGAATCTAATGTAAAATAGTACTTTTAAAAAAATGTATTGATATGACATTTAGAATATGAGTATAAGATGATACGAGATGAGCATATGTAACTTGCAAAACGCGCATTGATGGAAAGCAAGATTTCTTTTAAATGAGCATTAATGATCTTTTTAATGAACATCAGACATATACAAATGAGTATATGCAACCAGGGGCGGATGTAGCTAATAAGCAATGGGGGCACATGCCCCCAATACCTTTGTCCTTTTAGTTATTAAAAAAAAAACATGGTTTAAGGAGTAATGCCCCCAATGGAAAAAAAAAGGATGCCCCCATTAATATATCATACAAATGAAGTTGAAGTATCTATTAGCCTTTCTATTCCATAATTTCCATGGCCAGTCGATTCCATTTCTCATTTATTTTAATTACTAGTTATATTACGCGCGATGCGCGAGAGGGCAATGCCCAACGTTATTTTGACAAGATTTAAATAAGAGATTTTTAATAACAATAGTAATACTATCAATAATAATAATATTATTAAAAATAAAAATAATAAGAATAAGAGTAATAGTAATAATAATAAGAATAATAATAATAACATTAATAATAATAACAATAATAACAATAACAACAACAAGTAGTAAATCATTATGAAATTTTCTGATTTTTATTGTATTTTCATAATCTGATATGATATGGATCTGTTAGATCTAGTCCGGTCTTAATAATCTGATAGGATATGAATCTTGTTGGGTATTGTTGATTTCATTTTTTTTTACTCCAGGGGGCTGGGGGCTGGGGGGCTGGGGGGAGCCTGGGGTAATCAGGGCTGAAACTCACTCCATTGAGTTTCAAACCCTTGTGTGTGCCTAGCGGGATTCGAACTCGAGACCTCCCACTAGGCACGGTAACCTCGCAACCAGCTAGGCTGGAGTGCTTGGTTTGGATATTGCTCATTTCATTCATAATAACTTATGTTGTTTTCTGTTGGACTGTTTTCAGTCCCAGATCGGACCAGATCAGATCAAACCAAACTAGACCTGACCAGATCATACCAGACCAGACTTGACTTCCGTAGTTATAAAATACATAGAGACCAAACGTTTAGCAAACCAGTTCAGACCAGACCAGATTAGATCAGACCAGACCAGCAAATTTCAGTCCAAAAGAAAACATTCTTACATAAAATTGTATTTTTTTAGAAGTAATGCATAACCTAACATATATAATGATGGAAGGGTACAATAACTAAAATAAATTGTACAAGTGCATAATGCTTTAATGTTACACCAACATTTTTATCATTCCTAAAATGCCCTTACCATCATTGGTGCTTATAAGTTTGTAGATAGATATGTAACCTACTATTTTAATAATTTGTTCCTAAAGAAGCCAATAAGGATATTTTCTAATTGCGCAAGTTTTAGATTTAGATTTAATACTTTATTTAAAAATTAGTTATTTGCTATTTCAGTAGTTGTTGAAATTAATTGTGTGATTTGGGGTTGATTGTTATGCTATTTAGTTAGCTGCTATTTGCATATTTCATTGTGCTTTCACAATTGTCCAGAATCCTAGACATTAATCTTGTGCCTTTTAATTTTCCTTTATTAGGGTGTGGATTAGTGATTAACCATAACATGGATGATTTCTCCTTGAGATTTTAGTTTTACGAATTTAGTGTTAAGTATGACTAAATATACTTATA